GGGCTGGGCTCCCGGACGGCCCGGACACGCCCCTGAGGCCGCGCCCCTCCTCCTGGCCCCGCCTGGCTTTGTGAGGCCACCCGGGAGAGGCGGGGCCAGCCACGACGACCACGCCCCTATACCTGTCCTGTGCCCGCCCACTGGGACTCGCTTCGTGAGGCGCCCGGATCCCGGGAAAGGCCGAGCGATGGAGGGGCCAGGACCTCGGGACACGCCCCCAGTCCGTGGCTCCACCCCCCGGCCCCCCTGCTGGAAAGGCAGTTTGAGACACCCGCCCCGGCCTCTGCGTGCAACTTTAACCCAGTTCGAAGACCCCTTCCCCTAGCATTCAACCGCTTCTCCTCCCTTCCCAGGTTGTCTTTGCCCCTCCCACAGCGTCTTCTCCATCCTTAACCCTTGACTGTCTATTTCGGCACAAAAAATTATTTGACACCTCCCCTCTGGGACCCTCTCTAAGCCCCTCCCATCTCCCAGTTTCTCTCCCCTCCCCCAGTGAAGGCTGGACTCTTGAGTCCTGCCGATCTGGGCCGTGTGTCCCCTCCTCCCCACACACACATCCACACACAGCCGTCTTCCCTGAGTCCCCTGCCACTGTTCCAGGCCAGGACCCCACAACCCTTTTGGGGAGCCCAAAGGGGCTCGGCCACTTCCCACTACCCCAGCTCTCCAACTACATGAGACCTCATTTACTCCTCGTTCTCCTTAATGTCCCTCTGCCCCACATCCTCATCATTGCATCCCCTTACGCAAGCACCTTAGAAAACCTGCGTGGCACCGCCCACTCCCTGCACCCCACGAGCCTCTACATAGGTCTCCCTGACTGCAGTTGAGGGGTGCAGCAAATGGTGAATTCAGGCATCTCCCCCACCCCTCAGCCATCCAGCAACGAGGCCCAGAGGTCCAGGATTGAGAGATTACACGCCCTAGAGGCTGTGGGAACACCTCAACACATGTAATAATTAATAACTTAGGTATGCCAGCAGGGCAGACACACAGAACACACCCCTGTCTACTCTTTGCTCAAAAATCTCCGTGGGAAGCCGGGTGCCGTGGCTCAAGCCTATAATCCCAGCACTTTGGGAGGCCAAGGTGAGGGGATTGCCTGAGTTCATGGGTTTGAGAACAGTCTAGGCAACTTGGCAAGACCTCATCTCTGCAATAAATCAAAAATTAAGCCAGGCTCGGTGGCTCAGCCTGTAATCCCACGCCTTGGGAGGCTGAGGTGAGTGGATTGCCTGAGCCCACGGGTTCGAGACCCGCCTGGCAACTTGGTGAGACCTCATCTCTACAATAAATCAAAAATTAGCCGGGCATGGTAGTACGCACCTGTAGTTCCAGCTACTTGGAAGGCTGAGGCAGAAGGATCGCCTGAAGCTAGCAGGTCGACGCTGGGGTGGCTGTGAGCATGCTACTGCACTTCAGCCTGGGTGACAGAGTGAGACTCCAACTCAAAAAAAAAAATTCCATGGGGATGAATCAGGTGCCCTTGGCCTGAGGGCCAGGAGGGGAGTGAGGAGAGCATAGACCTCTTATGGCCCAGATGGGGGACCAGAAGGGGTCCTGACATCTCCTTGGTGGTCCTGACAAGTTGAAAAGTGGGACTTCCTGCTGTCTGTCCAGCCGCCAAGCCAATGCCTGGACTCCCTCCCACTCCTCTGTGACAGAAGTCCCAAGGCCAGGGGTTCCCTTCATTGTCTCTGTTCAATTCCCTGAGAAAGCAGCAGCTGGAGCCCCCTAGAAGGAGCTGCAAGGTGTCAGGCCCCAACAGGCCCAGAGGTGGAGGAAGCCCCAATCCTCAGCCTCACTGGCAGGCCCTGAAAGTACTGAACTCGGGGGGTTCGGGCGAGGAGGACGTGGAGGTGGGCCTCTTCCGGGGCCTGGAGTTGCTGGGGACAGCAGTACCACCAGAGCGATCCAGAGTGGCCATGTCTTCTTCTGAAGTTTTCTTTGTACATGGAAGTAAAAAGAGAGAGAATAATTTGACTTGGGGCTCAGAGATTGAGGGATTCGCCATGTTTTGAGCCTGAGACTCCTCCGGTCTGTCAGTTCCCAGCTTATCTCTGCCTCCTAAACCTGCCCACACACCTGTCCTGGCCTTCTCCTCCTGCCTTCCTCTCTCCTGAGGAGGAAATCAGAATGCCTTGGTTCAAATCCCAGTTCCATCACTTACCGGCAGTGTGACCTTCATTGAGTGACTTAACCCCTCTATACTTTAGTTTTCCCTTCTGCAAAATAGGGAGAATGCTAGCACCCACCTCCTAGGGTTGCTATGTGACTCAAAGGAACAAAATAGAGAAAGCAACTAGCACATTGTAAGCAAACACAACCACTACTGTTATCTCCTCTCATCCCATTCTGGGCTTCCTCAAAATAGTCTTCAAAATTCTACACTTGGTTGTGCAGTAGCTCACTTCTGTAATCCCAGTACTTTGGGAGGCCAAGGTGGGAAGGTAGCTTGAGGACAGGATGTTTGAAACCAGCCTGGGCAAAATAGTGAGACCCCATCTCTATAGGAAAAAAAAACATTTAAATTAGCCAGGTGTGGTGGCATGCACCCGTAGTCCCCGCTACCTGGAAGGCTGAGGCAGGAGGATCACTTGAGCCTAGGAAATCAAGACTGCAGTGAGTTATGATTTGGGCCACGGCACTCCAGCCTGGGCAACAAAAGGAGACCCTGATTCTATTTTTTAAAAAGTCTACCCTCTCCTCTGCCTTGGGAAGCTCTCTCTCCAACACTAGTCAAGGAGAGATGAAATTGCTGGAACTGAAGTCAGGCAGTTAAGAGCAGGCTGGGGTTCCACTCACAATCCTGCCCCTCCCTGGCTGGGCAGCTCTAATAAGACACATTTACCAGCCGTAGTGTCCTCATTTGTTAAAAAAAAAAAAAAAGAAAGAAAGAAAAAAAAAAATGGTGGTTTTTTTGTTTGTTTGTTTTAGAAACAGTGTCTTGCTATGTTGCTCAGGTTGGGCTCAAACTCCTGGGCTCCAGTGATCCTCCTGCCTCAGCCTCCCAAAGTGCTGGAATTACAGACATGAGCCATCATGCCCATCCTGGAGAAAACAGTTATAAAGTTGCACATCAGACCCCCCCCCCAAGGTAATGGGAAAAGTTAGAGAGATGTCAGCTGCTTCCTTATCATTTCAGCCAAGAGCAAAGCTGTATGATACTTCAACAAGAAACCAGAAGTAGCCGGGCTCGGTGGCTCAGCCTGTAATCCCGCGCCTTTGGGAGGCTGAGGTGAGTGGATTGCCTGAGCCCGCGGGTTCAAGACCCGCCTGGGCAGCGAGACCTCATCTCTACAATAAATCAAAAAATCAGCCGGGCGTGGTAGCGCGTGCCTGTAATTCCGACAACTTGGAAGGCTGAGGCGGAAGGATTGCCGGAGCCCAACAGGCGAGGCTGCGGTGGCCGGGAGCGGCCACTGCACTCCAGTCTGGGCGACAGAGTGAGACTCCAACTCAAAAAAAAAAAAAAAGAAACCAGAAGTGAAAGCAGAATGCAACCGACACTTGCATACCCCTGTTAATGGTGGTGATTCCCCATAGCCAAGTGACCCAAGTGTACATCGGTGGATGAATGGATTGACACAATGTGGTCCATCCATACAATAGAATACAATTCAGCAGTAAAAACAAGGACATTCTCACACAAGTTCCAACACGGATGAACCTCAAGGATATCATGCTCAGGGAAATAAGCCAGACACAGAAAGACAAATACTGTGTGACTCCACTTATATGAAATGTCCAGAATAAGCCAATCTAGAAAGACAGGAGTGTTGATTGCCAGGGCCTGGGGAGGGGGGTAGGGAGTTAGTATTTTGGGGAACAGAGTTTCAGTTTGGGAAGGTGAGAAAGTTCTGGAGATGGATGATGGTGATGGCTGCACAACCATGTGAATGTACTTAACGCCTCTGAACTGTACACTTACAAATGCTTAAGATGGTCAACTTCAGCCGGGCACGGTGGCTCATGCCTGTAATCCCAGTACTTTGGAAGGCAGAGGCAAGAGGATTGCCTGAGCCCAGAGGTTCGAGACCAACCTGGGCAACTTGGCAAGACCTCACCTCTACAATAAATTTAAAAATTAGTTGGGCATGGTAGTGCATGCCTGTAGTTCCAGCTACTTGGAGGGCTGAGGCAGCGGAAGGATCACCTGAGCCCAGTAGGTTGAGGCTTCAGTGGCCATGAGCATGTCACTGCACTCCAGCCTGGGCAACAGAGTGAGACTCCGACCCCCCAAAAAAGGTGGTCGACTTCATGTTATGTGTACTCTACCACAATAAAATAAAGAAGCTAGGCAACTCCCTAGGGTTCCCTCCCACTATAGGAGCTTTTCTGTTCTCTCAATAAATCCTGCTGTCTCAAAAAAAAAAAAAAAGAAAGAAACTAAAAAAGATAACTGGAAGGCTGCGTGCAGTGGCCTGTAATCCCAGCACTTTGGGAGGCCAAGGCAGGAGGATCACCTGAGCTCAAGAGTTCGAGGCCATAATGAGCTATAATCATGCCACTGCACTCCAACCTGAACTACAAAGCAAGACCTCTACTGAGAAAAAAAAAAAAAAAGTGAGCCAGGAACAATGGTTCATGCCTGTAATCCCAGCACTTTGGAGGCCCAGGGGTTTGAGACCAGCCTGAGCAATTTAGCGAGACCTTGTCTCTGCAATAAACCAAAAAATTAAGTATACGCCTGTTTGATCTCAAAAAAGAAAAAAAATTAGCCGGGCATGGTGGCACACACCTGTAGTTCCAGTTTCTTGGATGGCCGAGGTAGAAGGATCACCTGAGTCAACAGGTTGAGGCTGTAGTGATCATGAGCGTGCCACTACACTCCAGCCTGGGCGACAGAGTGAGACTCCAATTAAAAAAAAAAGCGATCACTGAACTTCACTGTTAAGGGACAGAGGCACTGAGCATAGCACATGGGCAACATGGGCTCAGTTGTGTTAAAGGGTGAGGGCACAGATTTGCTACATTCTTTTTCACTGGCCACACACAACTCCTGCAGTGGTTCCCTGTGTGTGCAGAGGGTGGAAGAAAGGGGTGAATTCGTAAGAGAAGAAAACGTGACTGTATGAATGCTATATGTGAATGTAGTTCATATTTTAAAATGTTTAATTAAAATATTTTTTCTAAAAGTCACCAAAACTAAGACACCGAAAAATAAGTTGCATTTTTCCTTGCTTTTTTCTGTTTTCCATAGTTTCATTTTAAATGCCTTAAAGGGTCATTTTCTCAGGACCTCTTGGGGCTGTTCCCAGGGCAGCAAAAGTATACATTTCAAAAAATGAAAAAAGGATAAAATGTCTTAGACTGGGTGCAGTGGGATGTGTCTTATAATCCTACCTACTCAGGAGACTGAGGCAGGAGGAGTTAGAGACCAGCCTGGGCAACATAACAAGATTCCATCTCTAATAAATTTGTTTTCTTTAAAAAAAAAAAAAACATTTTTATAGAGACAGGGTCTTGCTATATTGCTCAGGATGGTCTCAAACATCTGCGTGCAAGCAATCCTCCCATCTCAGCCTCCCAAAATGCTGGGATCACAGGCTTGAGCCATCATACCTGGCCTTTTCATTAAAAATTTTTTAAGTTGAAAATTTTTTAATGTTTTAATTTTTATTTTTATTGAGTTGGAGTCTCACTCTGTTGCCCAGACTAAAGGGCAGTGGCACACCCACGGCCACAGCAGCCTCCACCTGCTGGACTCAGACCATCCTTCCGCCTCAGCCTTCCAAGTAGCTGGAACTACAGGCGCATGCCACCACGCCCAGGTTATTTTTTGATTTCTTGTAGAGATGAGGTCTCGCTAAGTGACCCAGGCTGGTCTTGAACCCGTGGGTTCAGGCAATCCTCTCACCTCGGCCTCCCTAAGTGCTGGGATTATAGGTGTGAGTCACCACACCTGGCCTTGAAATGTTTTTTAAATAAAATGCCCTAAAAAGGCGGGGCAGAGAGAGCACCAGGCTGGAGTCCGAGCTGTGTAGATTCTCACAGAAAGTTTTAGAGCTCTCTCTGCCTGCTCAGTTTTTCTCAGGGGCTCAGGATCTGTTCACGAGCAGAGACCATGTAGGGTTGGCGGCCGTGCCAAGTCCCCTCCTTTCCACCATCTGTGCCCCAGTGACTTGAGTCTTACCGACTTGTCTCTGGAACCCCAGACTCAGGTCTCCATCTGCTCTGGGCGCTCCCGGCTGCGGGGCATCTCTGCATGCTTGTCCCTCCAGCCTGCCCCTGCTCCAGGCGCCCCTTTCTCCCGTGGCCAAGCTCATCAACCCAAAAACAGTCCCGAGTGGCCCATCCCCCGGAGCTAGCCCGGCCTGCATTCGGTTTCTTCTTCACCTCCGCTGCCAACACGCCGGACCAAAGTCCTGGGTCTCCCGGCTCCAGGCTCCCGCTTCGCCCACCCTACTCTCACGGTTGTCCTCCCGGCTGCAGCCACCAGAGGGCGCCTGCGAGCCCCTCGGCTCCCGCCTGCACTCGGGCTCCCGCCTCCGCTGCAGTCCAGTCAAAGTTCTCACTCCACCCCACCTTACCAAAAATGTGGTATCCTCAGCCTGGATCAAATGTTCCCTTTGTTTTGTATTTTTTAGAGTTGGGGGTCTCACCGTCACCCAGGCTGGAGTGCAGTCGTGCAACCACGGCTCTCTGTGGTTTCAAACTCCTGGGCTCCAGGGATCCTCCTGCCTTAGCCTCGCAAGTAGCATGTGCCGCCAAGTCCAGCTAATTTAATTTTCTGTAGAGACGAGGTCTTGCCACGTCGCCTAGGCTGAAACGTGTCCAATCTCTCCCAGCTACCTCCTGCTTGTTACTCATCTTAGAGACTTTCCTGTCTCCCTTCTAAAGTGGCTTGCCCGTCACTCTCTGCCCCCAACTGGCATCGCCTGCCTCTCCACCACATGGAATTAAGAGGGAAGGCTGGCCTTATCTTGTTCTCGTCCAGATGCCCAGGAAGGAGTGTGTGGAGTGCTTCTCTGTCCTGGCTCCTGCTCGGTCCCATCCTCTATCCTCCCCCCTCTGTGGTGCCCCAGACAGACTCCCTGAAGCGTCCATTTGTCCAAATGGAGCCTTGGAGGCCACCGCTGGTGTGGCCACCTGCATCCCAGACCTGTAACCTGCTCTGGGTAGGGAGGAGCAGGCTGAACATTTCCTTGAGCCACAAAGCTCATGGGTCAGATCTCTCAAACTTAGTAAAAAAAAAAAAATTTTTTTTTTTTTTTGAGTTGAAGTCTCACTCTGTCACCCAGGCTGGAGGGCAGTGGCACGCTCCTGGCCACCGCAGCCTCGACCTGCTGGGCTCAGGCGATCTTTCCGCCTCAGCCTTCCAAGTAGCTGGAACTACAGGCATGCGCCACCATGCCCGGCTAATTTTTTGATGTATTGTAGAGATGAGGTCTCACCAAGTGGCCAGGGCTGGTCTCAAACCCGAAGGCTCAGGCAATCCTCTCACCTAGGCCTCTCAAAGTGCTAAGATTATAGGCGTGAGCCACCACGCCCGGCAGATTTTTTTTTAATCAGAGTTTCACTCTGTCACCCAGGCTGGAATACAGTGGCATGCTCATGGCTAACGCAGCCACAATCTTCTGGGCTCAGGTGATTCTCCTGCCCCAGCCATCCAAGTAGTGGAACTACTGGTGTGCACCACCACGCCAGGCTAATTTTTTTTTACCTATTGTAGAGACAAGGTCTCCCTATGTTGCCCAGCCTGGTCTCAAACCTGTGGGCTCAGGCAATCTTCTCGTCTCTGCCTCCCAAAGTGCTGCTGGGATTATAGGCATGAGCCACCACACCTGGCTTGAGTTTGGGAAAAAGATTTTTTAAAACCCCACTACAAATGCTGAAGCCACTGTAAGATGCATCTGAGCAGAGGAGCCCCTAAACTCGGGTTTAAATCCTAGTCCTGACACTGTGTGACATTGGGGAAAAATATCCCTCAAAAAGGGGAGTCTTTAAGAGTCTCCCCCTGGACAGAAACACACAGTAGGACATTTAAACTGAAGTTCCTGAAACTAAATACAGAATAATTGAGTTTTTCTTTCTTTCTTTCTTTCTTTTTTTTGAAATGAAGTCTCACTATGTTACCCAGGCTGGCCTCAAATTCCTGGGCTCAAGCACTCAAGCAATCTTCCCACCTCAGCCTCCTAAGTAGTTGGGACTACAGGTTTAAGTCACCACACCTGGCTTCAGGCTTTTCCTTATACCAGAAGAGGTCCACAGCATGCATCAGAATGTCACTGTGATCCATGAATAACCTCAAAGAAGCCACCAGGTCATCCAGAATCCTGTGTCACTGTTCTGAGGAGTTGGCACAACTGAGTCCACAGACCTGGATGGCATTTGCCACCTTCAGTCCTCTGCCCCCTGGGATTCTTCAGAGCCAACCCTTGGCTCACTAAGCAGCCCCTGTCCCATGATTCTGGGCTTCTTCCTGCCCTCTGACAGCCTGGCGCTGCCTCCATTCCCAGATCGGACAGTCCGTAGGACACCGGCTCAAGAAAAAGAGCCACTCACCATGGAGATGGCAAACAAGGAGTTGTCGAAGGACATATCTGGAACAGAAAGAGAAAGAACATCCAGGCTTAGGGCCGGGGTCAGCCTCCCTGTCCCTTTCCCTCCTTCCCCCAGTTAGTCCCCGGGGGCAGGGGCAGGGGAGGTTCCTCCCAGCATTCTCTCCTCCAGCCCTTTCTGCATGGGGAATGCTAGCGGCCCTCTCCCCACAGAGCCTTCCTTGGGGTCTCTAGGGCCTCAGGAAAATGGGGGCCTCATCTCAACCCATGCCTTTCGGAAGGAACACCTGCTGGCTCTCCAACTCCAGGTCCCCCACTGCCAGATGGCCCATACTTCCCCCAGCCAGTCCCCACTCCTCCTGTGTTCTCTGCTTAAACATCACTGCCCAGAGGCCGGCCTTGTGCTAGACATAGTCGCCAACACTGGCTGTTCCCCCACTGGGCATGGGCCATGTCTGTCATGGTCATCCTGGAACCCGCCTAGATCTTAACACATAGTAGGTGCTCAATAAATGCATGGGACAGTGAATGAAGTGGAGAGTCAGTTTCTGGCTCAGGGCCCCTTCTAGGGCACTGAGCAGCATAGCCGGGATGCCTCTGCTCCCTAGCACACATTCTGGAAGGCCAGCAAGGTCTCCCAGGGAAGGAGAAGGAGTGTCAGACACACAAGCACAAAATGATCACTTAATTGTGAGAAGAATGGCAGTGTCCTGGGGGCATGCAAGTATCAAGGGGGTCTGGGGAGTCAGGGAAGGTTTCCTGGAGGAGGTGACAATTCTTGTTTTAGGCTGGGACAAATAGAGAAGGTAAGAACCCAGGGGAAGAAGCAGAGAAGGTGCATTTGACCCTAAGGAGGACAAGCCACAGAACAGGTTCTGTAACAAGTAGTGAGAGAAGACAAAAATAAAACACAAGTAGTGAGGTACCATGATGATCTGAGGGGGGTGAACCTGCCCATGTGGAGACAGGAGGGAAGAAGCACTGACCTGTGGTGGCGAAGTTAATCTGGGCCCAGCAGGATTCACGATCCCTGCAAAGGGATTCAGGAGAAAGCAACAGGTGCTGAGGTCACTCCTTGACACAGGAGGCTCATTCTGGAAAGCCCTGGCCCCAACCAGATCCTGTACTTGGCTTTCACTCCCCACCCTAACCACCCTCCCCTCCAACACCCTATCCTCCCTGCAGGGTAAACAAGAATGGTCACCCAGGGCAACAGCCCCTTGGCCCAGGGAAGAACAGACTAAGACACGGATAGTCTCCAATTTTCTGCAGAGCCCACAGTCAGTGATGCTGAGATTCCATCCCCAGGGGATTCTTCACCTGCAGGCAGCAGGGTATCTACCCCCTCAGAGGGGAGAAACCAAGGCCAGGCCAGGCGGGACACCCTGGGACCGAGGGGCTGGCACAGAAATCTATGTGGGTATCGAGAATGACTGTGGCAATTTCTGGCAGCTAGGGGTGAAGGGATGTGAAGAAAGCCCAATCCCTTGCTCCCTATGTGACTGAGTGCTGGGCCTCAGTCCCCTCATCTGTAAAATGGGATTTTCATAGTGTCTACTTCCAAGGCAGCTGTGAGGATGAGTTTCAGCTTCAGGGAGTCCTACACCACAGCACCCAGCACACAGTAGGTGCTTAACAAATGACACCTGCCCCTAATCGGCAGCCCTCCCACCAGGGGATGCTGTCTGGGGGGAGGGGAGAGGGTGGTGTTCCTGCCCTGCTGAGGAAATGTCCTGACCCCAAACCACCCTCGGAGAGTCTCCAGGGATAGTCTCACCTTTTCTTCTGTAAATTTTTTACTTTAACTGGAAAAAAAAACAAGCAGTTTTTAGATTTTTGTCCTGGCTGCATCCAGCAAGTTCCTAAAGCCAAAAAACCAAAAGCCCCTCAAGTCTACCGATTTGTAAGCCCCTCGCAAGCATCTCCAATCCCTCCTTGCCTCTTCCCAGGCAGATCTGCCACTCAACACAGGAACTACTGCAAACGTTCCTCTTTTAGTTACACGAATAACAAATAACGTGTATTAGTCGGGTGTGGTGGCTCACGCCTGTAATCCCAGCACTTTGGGAGGTAGAGGTGAGAGGACTGCCTAAGCCCAGGGGTTCAAGACCAGCCTGGGAAACATGGCGAGACCTTGTCTCTACAATAAATTAAAAAAAAAAAAATAGCCAGGCATGGTGGCACATGCCTGTAGTCCCAGCTACTCAGGAAACTGAGGGAGGAGGATCACCTGAGCCCAGAAGGTTAAGGTTGCAATGAGCCATGACTGTGCCACTGCACTCCAACCTGGGCGACAGAGTAAGACCCCGACTCAAAAAAAAAAAAAAAGGTTAAAGTGGCAAGCTTTATGCTATGTATATCTTACCACAATAAAAAAATACCTATATCCATTTTTTCTGCCACCACCATCCTGTTCCTTCTGGAAGGATTTCCACTGCTAAGCTTTGACCTCTGTACTCCTAAAAAAAATGGGTGTGAACACATGTGCAACTGCAGAGATTGCAACCTGCCACCTCATGGGCCATGCTTGTATTCCCTGCAGGATGTTACCTTTCCTGACCACCAGAACAATGGCCAACAGCCCAGTGAGGAGGAGGAAGGCTCCAGCCAGACTCAGGGAGAGCGCCAGAATCCAAGTGGGCACTGGAAGAAAGTGGAAAAAGGGAGAGTGAGCAGGTCATGGAATGGTGGGGGAGTGGAGAGGGTACCAGTTATCCCTCCAAGTTATCATTGAGGAGCCAGCCCTGCCTCTCCACTATATGGCTTGGGTGTAGTGAGAGGCTGGGGTCTTAGCAAACGTTGTTATCTGGCAAATTAGCATAATCCTTCCCCCTGGCTATTGTGATTGGTTCAAGGACAGGTGTGTAGCCCAAGCTGAGCCAATAAAAGCTAATTCTGGAACTCTGACTGGATCACTGGGAAAAGAGGCTTACTCCCCCAGCTAGTTTTATAGAGCTGGTAGAATATATATCTGGAGCTGCTGGGCATGATTTTGCCACCGTTGGGGGGGGGCTGCCTGAGAATTAACCAGGAGAAAGTGGAACTGAGGGTGGTAAATGATTCCTGACAACTTTGAGCACCCAGATCCAGCCATACCTGAAGTTAGTCATGGGAACTGTCTTCAGTTCAGCCAACCAAGAGATCCCCTTTTGTTGCAGAAGCCAGTTGGAGTCAGGATTTTAGCTGCTTGCAGTCTAGATACTGAGGGTCAGATAGCATTCACTCCCAGCCAAACGCTGGACTCTGAGGTTCACAAAGAGGTCAACCACAGAGGCACAGGAGTGACGGTTCCAGAGCACCCTTCTCCCTACCTGGAAAGAGCAGAGATGCCCTGACCCAGTGGAGGTTAGACATTAAGCCAGAAGGGGGAGGAGAAGACGAACCCCTGGCATTCCCACGATGCCTGTCCTTATTCATTCATTCATCTGAGGTGGGAGGGGTGTTGTTGTCCCCCCAGTCTGACCACAAGACCAAGGTGAGAGAAAGGGGCCTTTGACAGAGGAGCCCAAGCCTTGGAGGGACACAGAACTGTTCTGTCATGGCTGTGTGCCGACGCCTTAGGAGCAACAAGGTTCTCTTTGCAACAGGAAAGTTCTCTCTCCCTCTCCCTCTCCCTCTCTTTTTATTTATTTTTATTTATTTTTTAGTTGAAGTCTTACTCTGTCACCCAGTCTGGAGTGCAGTGGCACACTCACGGCTACCACAGCCCCAAACCGCTGGGCTAGGGGGTGATTCTCCTGCCTCAGCCTTCCAAGCAACTGGAATTACAGGCATGCATCACCATGCCCGGCTAATTTTTTTTTAAATTTATTGTAGAGATGAGGTCTCACCAAGTTGGCCAGACTGGTCTCGAAGCCCTGGACTCAGGCAATCCTCTTGCCTCCTATTCCCAAAGTGCTGGGATTACAGGTGTGAGCCACCATCTTCCTTCCTTCCTTCTTTCCTTCCTTCCTTTCTTTCCTTCTTTCTTTCTTTTTGAGTTGGAGTCTCACTCTGGTGCCTAGGCTGTAGTGCAGTGGCATGCTCACAGCCTCACAGCCACTGCAGCCTCTACCTGCTGGGCCCAGACGATCCTTCAGCCTCAGCCTTCCAAGTAGCTGGAACTACAGGCACGCACTACCACGCCCAGCTAATTTTTTTATTTATTATAGAGATTAAGTCTCGCCAAGTTGCCCAGGCTGGTCTTGAACCCGTAGGCTCAGGCAATCCTCTCACCTCATTCTCCCAAAGTGCTGGGATTATAGGCATCAGTCACCGTGCCTGGCTTCTCTCTTTTTGACTTTAGAGACAGGGTCTTGCTTTGTCACCCAGGCTGGAGTGCAGTGGTGCATAAATATTTTGGAGCCTGGAATGATGGCTCACGTCTATAATCCCAGCACTTTCAGAGGCCAAGGTGAGAGGATTGCCTGAGCCCACGGGTTCAAAACCAGACTGGGCAACTTGGTGAGACCTCATCTCTACAATAAATCGAAAAACATTAGCCGGGCGTGGTGGTGCGTGTCTGTGGTTCCTGCTACTTGGAAACCTGAGGCAGAAGGCTCACCTGAGCATGCACTTCAGCCTAGGCGACAGAGTGAGACTCCAACTTGAAAAAATAAAAAATATTTTGTAGAAACGAGGTCTCACGATGTTGTCCAGGCTGGTTGGAAAAGTTCTTTTTTTTTTTTTTTAGTCAGGATCTTACTCTGTCACTGGAGTGCTATGGCACAATCAGTCTCCCAAGTAGCTGGGACTACAGGTGCATGTCACCACACTGGGCTAATTTTTTTTTTTTTTAAGTTGGAGTCTCACTCTGTCGCCCAGACTGGAGTGCAGTGGCCGCTCCCTCCCACCGCAGCCTCGACCTGCTGGGCTCCAGCGATCCTTCCACCTCAGCCTTCCAAGTAACCGGAATTACAGGCATGCGCTACCACGCCCGGCTGATTTTTTGATTTTATTGTAGAGATGAGGTCTCGCTGCCCAGGTGGGTCTGGAACCCGTGGGCTCAGGCAATCCACTCACCTCAGCCTCCCAAAGGCGCGGGATTACAGGCTGAGCCACCAAGCCCAGCTATGACTAATTTTTAAAAAAAGTTTTTGGGGGGAGAGATGACGTCTTACTATGTTGTTCAGGCTGGGGAAGTTCTGATTGCTGTCGATGCAGAAGAGTACCGAGGGCTCCTCCCTCCTGCTTCCTGACCCATCACCCGTGCCCAGCCTCCTCTCCCGCAAAGACATCAACCCTCCCAGGGCTCCCATCTCACTCAGATGAAACCTGAAATCCTTGCTGTGGCCCACAAGGCCCTGCACAATGTTCCTCATCACCTTTCTGCCCTGTCTCCCCATTTCCTCTTTATTCATTATACTTCAGCCGTGCTGGGCTCCTGTGAGTTCCTGACACACTGGCAACTCCAGCCTTAGGGCCTTTGCACAGCCTGTTTCCTTTGCCTGTAACACTCTTGCCCAGTACCCACGTGGCTGGATTCTTCTTATCAGTCAGTTCTTTGTTCAAAGTCCACCTGCTTGGAGAGGCCTTCGCTAACTGCCTTGCTCCCTACTTAACATGACACTCCACCAGGCTGGATTTCAGCCAATCTCCTACCGACAGATTGAATAGTTACTGAATTTCACATTGATTGTTTGTCCTTACCGCCTGGACACTGCCTGGCACACAGTAGGTGCTAAAAAATTTATATGGTCAATGCTGGGCACAGTGACACACAATTGTGATCATAATTACTCTGGCGTCAAGGCGGGAGGACTGTTTGAGGCCAGTAGTTCAAGACCAGCCTGGGCAACATAAGAGAGACCCCACCTCTACAAAAATGAAAAAATTAACTAGGTCTGTAGTTCTAGCTACAGGTGCCTAAGGCAGGAGGATTGCTTAAGCCCAGGAGGTCAAAACTGTGGTGAACTACAGTTGTACTACTGCACTCCAGCCTGGACGAAGAGCGAGACTTGTCTCTTTTTAAAAACAAAAACAGAGCCGGGCTCAGTGGCTCAGCCTGTAATCCCGCGCCTTTAGGAGGCTGAGGTGAGTGAATTGCCTGAGCCCACGGGTTCGAGACCCTGGGCAGGCGAGACCTCATCTCTACAATCAATCAAAAAATTGGCCGGGCGTGGTAGCGCGCACCTGTAATTCCGGCTACTCGGAAGGCTGAGGCGGAAGGATCGCCGGAGCCCAGCAGGTCGAGGCTGCGGTGGCCGGGAGCGGCCACTGCACTCCAGTCTGGGCGACAGAGTGAGACTCCAACTCAAAAATAAATAAATAAATAATAAAAATATAAAACAAATTATATGGCCAAGAGGGAAAGTACTCAAAGCACAGAGGTTTAATCCCTGGTCTTTGGAGGCCAATGGCATCCCAGATGGGCTACCTGTTACCAGTGTGACTTGGGCAGTCCCTGCCAGACCTCTTGTACCTCAGTTTCCCTATCTGAAAAATGGGGAGAATCATAGCACCAATTTGCAACCATGAGAGGGAGGGAATAAGACACAGAAGAAGGCAGAGTTGAGAGGTGGCAAATGATTCCTGACATTTTTCAGCACCTAGATCTAACCATACCTGAAGTCAGCCCTGTGAACCAACTTCAGTTCAGAGAACTAACAAATCCCCATTTGGGGTGGTTGAGAGGATGGAAAAAGAAAAGGTGGGTAAGTCCTGGCAGGATGTGAGCCTGCCAAGCAGAGAAAACAGTACCTGCAGATGCTCTGGGTAAGAAACGGAGCCCTGGCTGAGAGGGCCGTGGAGGCCTACCTGGGAAGGCCACGTACACAGGCAAGCTGAGGTCTGACAGCTGGGGCTGGCTGTGCTCGCCCATCACGCCGTACTGACAGTGGAAGGGTCCACTTGGGGCCTCATTGCCGCCGCCACTCAAATTGAATGTGACTCCGAGCTGGTCCACGGGTGCCTGCAGAAGCTGGACCACCTGCCCCCCTCGGTACAGGGTGAAATTCGCCCCCAGGAAGCCATCGGGGGCCACACACAAGATGTGGATTGGGTCATCTTGGCTGCTCGGGTGTGGGGGCACCAGCAGGATGGATGGTGCTGGGATTGCCAAGGAGCCTGCAGTGCAGAATAAGGGCAGGTGAGGGGGTGCTTGGTGAGAGAGGAAGCTGGCTGGGCTGTGTAGCCCTGGGCAAGTAGATCACCCTCTCCGGGCTTTGTTTTGCTTTGTTTTGTTTTTTAGAGGTAGGGTTTCACTCTGTGGCCCAAGCTAAAGAGCAGTGGCATGATCATGGTCCACCACAGTCTCAGTGTTGTGGACTCAGAATATTCCCCTACCTCATCTTCCTGAGTAGCTGGAACTATAGGAACACAACACCACGCTGGCTAATTTTTAATTTTTTTTTTTTGAGCGGGAGTCTCACTCTATCACCCAGGCTGGAGTGCAGTGGCACGATCACAGCCACCCTTTCCAAATAGCTGGAACTACAGGCATACGCCACCACTCCCAGCTAATTTTTGGTTTATTGTAGAGACGAGGTCTCGCCAAGTTGCCCAGGCGGTTCTCGAACCCCTGGGCTCAGGCCATCCTCTCGCCTCCACCTTCAGTGTGCTGGGATTACAGGCGTGAGCCACCCCACCCAGCAATTTTTAATTTACTTTTTTTTTTGAGTTGGAGTCTCACTCTGTCACCCACACTGGAGTGCAGTGGCCGCTCCCAGCCACCACAGCCTCGACCTGCTGGGTTCCGGCAATCTTTCCGCCTCAGCCTTCCGAGTAGCCGGAATTACAGGCATGTGCTACCACACCCGGCTGATTTTTTTATTTATTGTAGAGATGAGGTCTCACAGTCCAGGCCAATTTTTAATTTTTTGTAGAGATGAAGTCTCTCTATATTGCCCAGGCCGGTCTTGAACTCCTGGCCTCAAGCAATCCTCCCACCTCGGCCTCCCAAAAAGCTTGGATTACAGGCGTGAGCCCTTGTGCCTGGCTACAACACAGCTCTACTCTGATTACTTCAATCAACCACACTATCCCTGTGCTAGATGCTGGGGACACAGCAGTGAAGGGGACAGACAGACAGTCCTGTTTCATGGGGTTGTCATTCTCTCAAGGGGCCAAGAAGTGTGGGTCATGGGAAGGCTGCATTCACTGAGTAGCTCTGAGGGCTTCCCTGAAGAGGTGATGGAAGGACCCTGTACAAAGGTGGGGAACAGCTTCTGGGCCAGGGGGAACAGCATGGGCAAGGGTAGGGAGGATAGAAGAGGCACTGGGGATATCTGAACAGTGGCAAGCAGGTCAGGGTGGCAGGAGAGGTGGGGGAGTGGGGGAGGGGAGAGCAGGAAGGGGAGGGCAGGGGGGTATCTAGCTTCTCCCCCAGGTTGCAGAGAGGAATGCGGGTTTGGGGCTTGGCTTCCTGCAGGAGAAAGGCCTCCTGGGGACCGTTTTTTTCCCTCAGGCTCCCAAGCAGAGTGTCTGGCTAGGTGAAGACTAATAGGATCCTTCCCTTGTCCAGCCTCCACCCCTACACACACACACACACACACACACACACACACACACACACACACACACACACTCTCCCATCTTATATCTCCCCCAGGCAAACCCTCCGGTGGCCCTGGCCCTCAAGGTAGGACCTATAGATGCCAAGACGCAGAGTCATGGGACATAGGTGATTTCTGATATTCTCTACTGGGAGGAGAGGAGCCTGGCAGGAAAATCCACAAGTCTGGGAGTCTCCAAGGCTCAGGCACAAATCCGTCCAAATCCACTCTTCCTCCAACACCTGCGAAGCGCAGCCTCCCACACAGGTCTCTGTCTCCAGAGGCGGGGTGGGCAGGGGCTGGGGGAGTGGGGCAGGGGTACCGAAGGGGGTGTCAGACTCACCGGCTGCAAAAAGCAGGACAGTCCAGGGCATCGCTCCTCCCGCGTTTGGCCGGGAATCTGGCTGAGGCCAGTGGGACCCTCGGCTGCCCGCCAACTCCTCCTGTGAGGCCAGATCAGGGAAAGGAGAACCAGGGCTGTCTTGGGCCGCGTATTTCCTCACTGGCAGGAAGTTGCATACATATGCCTGGGCACCAAAAGGGGCTCTATCCTCTCCCCACCCCTTCCCCAAACATGCCTCAGACCCGGGCACCACCCTGCATCCTGCTGGCTGTGGTTTGATAAACTGGGAGGGGGGGAATGGATGAGGTGGTTAGATGTTTTTATGATTTTTTTATTTTTTTTATTTTTTATTTTTTGAGTTGGAGTCTCACTCTGTCATCCAGGCTGGAGTGCAGTGGCACACTCACGGCCATACCCCAGAGTCCATCTGCTGGGCTCCGGTGATCCTCCTGCCTCAGCCTTCCAAGTAGCCAGAACTACAGGCACGTGCTACTATGCCTGACTAATTTTTAATTTTTATCATAGCGACGAGGTCTCGCCAAGTTGCCTGGGTTGGTCTTGAACTCGCAGGCTCAGGCAATCCACTCGTCTTGGCCTCCCAAAGTGCTGGGATTACAGGCTGAGCCACCATGCCCGGCCAGTTAGGTGTTTTTAATTTTTTTTTTATCTTCCTCTACGAGAACTTCAGGGCATGAGGAAGGGCAAAGCAGTGAGCTGGTCTGGGAGACCCATGCTCAAGACGCCAACCACAGCCCAACCAGTGCCAAAGTTAAAACAAATGTGGAGCAGGGGCTGGGAGGGCATAAGGGTTAGGGCTTGGCTTCTGTGACCTCAGGCAAGGCCTGCCTTCTTTAAAGCCTCAGTTTCCTGCTCTGTAGAATTGGGCTAAGAATAGCAGACATCCGCCTGGTGTGCATGGTGGCTCACCCCTGTAATCCCAGCACTTTGGGAGACAGAGGTGAGAAGAGTGCCTAAGTCCCAGGATTCGAGGCCAAAGAACTCATTAGACTCAAAGAACTCATGGTATGAAATGCATGACTAGTGAGCTGTGAGTGCTCCCTAGATGAAGATACAGGAAAGAAAAGGCTCAGGGGTTTTATCATACAGGTGAAAGGGAACACTAGCTCCAGAACTAAGGAAGTGATATAGTTTGCAGGATAAATTGCCTCCTGTTTATAGCCCAGAAACTTCCAAGTTTCTGTCTTACTAACAGGTGCGGTTTGCTTTGGTCTTTCTAAACATTTCTGTTCAAGCCAAGTAGGCCTTCCTGAAGGCTTACATCCAGGAAGGATGTAGTGTGTGGTCACCAAATACCAAAAGGAGTCATCAGAGTGAAAGTTTTGCATTGGTCCCAGAAAGTTCTTTCCAACCGCAGGGCCTTTGCACATGCTATTTCCCTTGCCTAAGACACAATTCTATCAGCCTGGTCAAATCTTACTTTTCCTTCAGGTGTCAGCACAAATATCACTTCTGGGAAATCTTTCCAGGTCTCTGGACATAAAAAATCCCCTTGCTACAAGCCGGGCTTGGTGGCTCAGCCTGTAATCCCGCGCTTTTGGGAGGCTGAGGTGAATGGATTGTCTGAGCCCGCGGGTTCGAGACCTGCCTGGGCAACTTGGCGAGACCTCATCTCTACCATAAATCAAAAATTAGCCAGGCGTGGTAGCACGCGCCTGTAGTTCCGGCTACTTGGAAGGCTGAGGCGGAAGGATCGCCGGAGCCCAGAAGGTCGAGGCTGCAATGGCCGGGAGTGGCCACTGCACTCCAGTCTGGGCGACAGAGTGAGACTCCAACCCAAAAAAAAAAAATCAGTGGTGCATGACTGGGGGAGTGACAGGCTGGGGAGAGGGGGGGAAGCAGAGAGGGAGGAGAGGACAGATGGACAGCCGGAGGGGTGAGTGAGTGGATGATGGATACAAGGAAAGCAGGAAGGATGGAAAAATGTATGTATTCACCCTAATGCTCTGCACTTGTCAAAACCCTTTTACAACCATGTCCTTTTCATCCCACACTCCCCACCCCCTGCGGAGATAAAGACTATATCCGTGGTAACAATAAGACTCACACCTTTGGCCAAGCACAGTGGCTTACACCTGTAATCCCAGCACTTTGGGAGGCCAAGGCAAGAGGATCGATTGAGGCCAGGGATTTGAGACCAGCCTGGACACCTTGGCTAGATCTTGTCTTCTACAATAAATCAAAAAACTAGCCAGGCGTGGTGGTGCACACCTGTAGTCCCAACTACTTAGGAGACAGAAGTGGGAGGATCACCTGAAACCAGGAGGTCGAGGATGTGGTGAGCTGTGATCACACCACTGCCCTCTAGCCTGGGCAACAGAGAGAGACCCTGACTTGGGGCGAAGAAAAAAAAAAGACTCACACTCAGGCCAGAGGGGGGAGCGGAGGCCATCCGGCCAACCTGGGGACTCCCTCTTTAATACTCCAATCTATGGTGCTTCTACAGTGGGGAACGCTTGCCACTGAGTCACTGCACTGCCTCTGCAGCCAGGGCCCCACCCTGCCGCTGTTCAGGACCCTTTCCATCACACCCGTGCCGCCCAGAGAGCATTGCTGGCGTTAGCAACGCTCAGTCTGCAGGCTTTGCCTGGATTCCTGATGAAGAAGGCGTTGGCCGATCGTCCACAGGGGGCACATCCAGGTCCACAGCCTTGCCCAGGAAGCTCTCCAGTGATCAGTAATTGAGCACCAGCTGTTTGGCAAAGGTTTCCTGAGACAATAGGATAGTAAAGGCCCGTCCCTGCCCTGAAGGCACCCACGGTGTCTGAGAACAAGCAGTCACACGGAGGGCAGCTGCTCAGGCTGCAGAGTGAACATCCCCGGGACATCGGAGGCTCCTTGGAGCAGGGTGCGCAGAAGGCCAAGACCACGGGAAAGGCACTGCTCCAGCCGGCCAGCCCTCCAGCCTTCTCCCCCATCCACCCACCCAGCTAGCGTGTGGAGGGAGAGGTGCGTCAACAGGCCTGGCCTGTTTCTTTCTTGTCCGCTGAGGGTGTCTGTTGGGCACACCCTCAGACGTCGCAGTGGGTTGGAGGCTTTGCCTCCTGAGCTCCCAGACGACCTTCCACACTTTAACCTGACTCCTGCCCCCAGCCGAGCTGCGCTGCTTCCAGAACCTGAGTCTGGGCCTTCTTCAGTTTTATGTCCCCAGCCTCAGCCTCCAGGCCCCAGCATGGATGTGAGTGAGGCACACCCCCACACTGGGACCCTCGCATGTTGAGAGTTCTGAGCCCTAGAATGACGAGAAACCAGGCAGTGCGTTCTATAGAAATCACACCGAGGGCCTCAGGAGAGACATGCTTTCTTATTTGGTTTGCCCTGGGATGTAGGACCCAGGTGAAGTAAGGCTCCCTAGTGATTTGGGGGATCTTGCTTGTGTCCTGGAGACCCCAGGACGCCCATCTTGAGGCCTCAGGGAAAGGGAGAAAGGATAGAGAACACCCCATCGGTCTTTGGCGAGGTGCTGATTCACCTCCTTCTCTGTGGTCTTTACTTTTCTACTCTGTGTCATGGGGGGTAGACTCAGTGACCTCCCCCATCCGCAGTCCCTCTTCTACCCCTGTCTTGCCAAGCTTGTGATATCTCAGGGAAGGAGACACTGGCTTCAGCCTGGGACACATCCAAGCACCCAAGCCCCTGGCACCAGCTCCCAGCTCCTGGTAGCAGAGTCATGGGGCCTGCCTGGGTCCTGTCTCCAAGAAGCAGAAGAGGAGTTGTGCTCCCCCACGTACTCCCACCCCTCGGGCTGGCAGCCTCGCCTCTGGCCTCAGCAGTGCTTACCCAAGCAGAATGCCCGAGGAGTCTGTGCAGCCAGGCGGGAGGCAAGAGAAAAAGGCCCGGAGGAGAGAGAGGGACCCAACCCTCCCTTCCAGGGGAGAATGAGCTGGCGAGAGGCAGGGGAGAAGAGGGGTCCGCTTTCCCCTTCTTCCCCTGGGTTGGCACTTTTTTCCTTTGGGTGTTAAACTCAGTTCTTCCTTTTTCTCCAATTCCTGACTAGCCTATTCAATAATTTAAATATTTGGGCCTAAAGGGCTTCAATTATCCTTTAATTTACATTAGTAATTTATGTATTAGGTAGAATGGACACACGGTTAGTGTAACAGCCCCCAGTAGACCGGCTAATATCTCCTGCACTCCGTGTTCTTAAGAATCTCGCCATTTTGCTTTGCAGCCCAAGGTCTTTGTTTCAAAAGTGGCTCCTATGTGTACAGATTTACACAGGTTTGTGTACATGCTTACGGGTACACAGAAGGAGGGGGTCTGTACTCACAGTGAACAGTGGCACACACCCATTTACAGACAGGCACGCTGAGGCAGCCCCTAGATCAGAGCCATCCATGAAAATGTGGCACAGCTCCTCTCTCACGCGCATGTACACATGAATGTAAAACACACACTCCATCAGACCTGCCTTCTCCACCCTCCTCTACCCCCTTCCTTATTGCTGGGGGCAGTCATGTACACACAGGCTTGGATTCGCATCAGCCGGCCAGGTGATCCAAGCATAGATTACCTGGCACAGAGGCCAGGGGCCCTGCATGACATTCAGATGGGCCATTCTGTGTCCGAGTGGCCAGTTCTTTTGCGCACAGCCCCCCATGGGCACCTGACCCCAGGGTTGAATGCACACATGGGAACGTGACCGTGGGGCCAGAGCTGTGGCCTGCTCACGTGCCACAGGCTGGCACCAGCTACAGACTCCTGGGCTTCTCAGGCACGGTGCCCACCCCAGTATGCAGCCCGGGCACCAGGAGCCTGGCATGCCTGAGCTCTTTCCCTGACACAGCCAGGCTGCCAAGGGGAGCCCGAGTGGGGATGCCAGCTCCCGCTGCCCCTCAAGTCTTGGTCCCGCTGCCCCAGCAGCAGCTTGCAAGGGTGAGGGCTTCCCAGGGATGGGGACGGTAGTGACAGAGAATGATGTCCTTGTGTGTGAGTATGTGGTTCCAGGCTTGTTAGTGGAGATGGGCCTCTAGCCTTGTGGAGACACACCTTGCAGCTCTGTGCTAAGACCCT